CACACACACACACACACACACACACACACACACACACACACACACACACACACACGGGAGGTCGATCAGCTGCACTGTTTTGCCTGGAGACCAGGACCACAAAACAAGACCAGGAGGATGCTGGGGGAGGGAGGCAGCCCCGACTCCTCAGTACAAGTTGGGAGCTGCCTGGTTGGGAGGGCACCATCGGGAAGAACACAAACACACACACACACACACACACACAGACACACACACAGTGCCTACCAATGAATGTGATGGCCTCAGGAAAGAACTGGGAGAGATTCTGACTCCAGTGATCGGAGATGGGGATCTGTTTGTACTTGAACTCCCCTCCGTGCTCAAACATGTTGGGCAAGTTAGGTGTCACATTCAGGATGTACTTGATCCCATACTTCCCCAGGACATCCAGGTTGGTGGAGTCCTTGGCACAACCCAGATACAAGTAGGGCAGGATCTGGACGGGGAAGGCCGGCTGGTTGGAGGGGAGGGGGCTGCCGTCTGACTCGGTGGCGCTGCCGGGCTCTCGGTCGGACTCTCCGTCCGAGCAGTCGGAGCTGATTCGAAGGCCGCCCAGGCCCAGGACGGAGGCCGGGGGAGAGTTGCTGGGAGAGGAAGTATCCAAGCTGGTCTCACAGTGCTCCGAGTACTCAGTCTGAAACTTGTTGAAGCCACCTGGGGAGAAGAAGGTGGGTTAGGGAATTGTCAGCTGGCCTTTCTCCACACTGGTGTTTGGAAGGGCAAAGGTGACTTCTGGCTAGGGGGATGATCCTAACGGACCGTCTCCCCCAGAAAAAAACAAACCCTCTACTCTGTCCCGGCGTGGTATAGTAGAAAGAGAACTGGCTTTGGAGCCAAAGGCCTGGGTTCAAATCCCATCTCTGACAATGACTCCCTTCACCACCTTCGGCAAGTCCCAATCTCCTGGGCCTCGGGCTCCTCGCTTGTAAAATGTAGGGCCTGGAACAGACGGTGTCCGGTGCCTTCCAGGTCCACATCTATGGTCCTAAGCCCCCAGGACCTATCCCATCCCCTAAAGCAATCACTAAGCCAAAAAACCTGAAAGCTACCATGAGCCTAGCTATGGAGGAGACAGAATACCCCAGCCCTACTCATACTCTGAGCTGGGGAGACAAGACAAGAAAACATGAGACAGCATGTAATTGTTTGCACCTTGAAGACAATCAGGACAGAGAAAGGGAAGGGGATTGTGGGTTAAAGTAGTCAGGGAAGGCTTCCTGGAAGAGGTGGTACTTGAGGTGAATGGTCTGTTCTCTTTCGTATACCAGAGGAGGCAGCCAGGACCTCAAGGAAGGTCCCATCCCAATGCCCACTTCCCTCCTCACCCTCAATAAGAGCAGAGTCAAACTATTGCACGAGGAAAAAAAAATGAATTTGTAGGCAAAAGACCGGTGTTCCAGTATTAACTCTGTCACTGCGTGACCTTGGGGACACCGTGTAATTGCTCCAAGCCTCTGGTTGCTCCTCTGAAAAGGAGGAGGCTGGATTAAGTAACCTCTTTGGTCCCTTCCAATTTGACAATGTTATGATCCTACGATCACCCAGGAGTGGAGGGTGGGGAACAGCTGACTGGCCATTGGTTCATTCAAACATTTATTGAGTCCCTGCTGTATACAAAGTGCTGTGCCCATTTCTCAGTGCCTGGCATCCCCTCAGTCCCTGAAGGTCCTAGGGCCAGGGGCCTCTGCCTGCACTCCCTAGGGATGGGGCTATCACTTTGGATAGCCAGATGTGGGGAGCTCCTTCTCCCCCAGGCCCCTCCCTGTGGGCTGGAGTGCATCCCTCCAGGCAGAGCCAGGTGCTCCTGGAGTCTGCAGCAGCAGCAGCAGCAGCAAAGCAAAGCAGAGCAAAGCAGGGCAGGGCCAGGCCTCCCCTGTCTTGCCTCCCCTCCCCTCCCCCTGTCCCCGCCAGAGAGGCCATTTTGGAATGTTAATTGGAAACACAAGCAGTTTCCAGCCGGCTAGGGGTAGCTCTCAGCCAAAGGGGTTGTGGGGGGGGGGGGAGTGGAAGGGTTCTCCAGAGACAGAATGGGCAGGGGGGGTTCCCATCTGGGTAGGAAGAGCTGAAACCTGTCAGGCCACCTCTGGCCAGAAGCCTGGACTCCTGGGTCCCTTCCTCCAGATGAAATTTTATTGTTTCCCTTGGCTTCGGCAGCGGCCGGGGAGGGGGTAAGAGCTTCCCTCACCCCTCCACTGTCAGGCGGGTATAGAGAAAGAAGCCCCAACATCCTCCCTCCCTCCCTCCTCCCTTCCTGTCTTCCCCTTCCCCCTCCTTAAAAAAATGAATCCCAAGCCTAGTCTGCAGGAGGGGGTGTCCTGGACCAAGGGGGTTAGCTGAGGCCAGAACGGATTAACTACAAACTTGCCAGAGAGAAACCAAATCGAGCACGAGCTTCCTGTCCAAGACAATGTGATGTGGTGTGAGGGGAGGAGGAGAAGGGCACTCTAGGGTCCCCACCCACCTGGAGGGACCAAGGTGACAGCCGCCCTCCCCTCCCCTCTGCCACCTACACTACTCCTCTTCAGCAACTGGAGAAAAAAGCAAGGAGGGGGAAAAAGTTTGTTCCTCCCATGGAAATCGTGCAGGGAAGGGAGAGGGGAAATGGAGGGGGGTCCCTGCTGCGGGGTCATGGGGGGATGGGAGACAGGGCCAGGGAGAGCTAGCTCCTCAGCACCACCAGGTGGGGTAGCTAGAAGGGAGGGGAAGCCCAGGAGTTTTCCCCATTGGGCAGAGCAAGATAGAAGTCCCTAGGCTTGGTGGTTTTGAGGGATGCAATGGGGTCTGGAGTGGGAGGTGGAGGGGCCATCCTGCCCTGGGCCTCTCAAGTCTCTCTATTTTACCGCTCCCATATACCAAACCATTTCCTAAGTAATAGCAATGATTAACCGTGAGCACGTCTCAGCCTCCCATACCCCTAGATTGTAAATCCTTGGAGGGCAGGACTGTTATTTTTCCATTTTTGAAATCTCAGTGTCAAGCACCTAGGAGGTATTTAATAAATGTTTACTGAACTGAGGGCGAACTCAACTCCCGGAAAGGCAAACAGATAAGGCAAGGCCCAGGCTGGGGAGAGGGGTGCCCCAGGCTGATGAGGAGGGAGGGAAGGCACAAAAGAAAGGACAGGGCTCAGAGAAGGGAGGGGACCCCAGCTCCTGGAAGTTAATTAGAATGGAGTCTAAAGTAAAGTGAGTCCAGAGAGGAGAGGACAGGGCCAGGAAGATCAATCCCTCTGCTCTGGGTCAAATTCTGGTTAGGGAGAAAGGGGACCTGAGGCAGGGAGAGGGACAGGCAGACAGTTAAGTGTGGATTGGGGGGAGGAGGCTAGCATCCAGAGGGGCAGAGATAAAGCGTATGGATTTGGGGTGGAAGGGGCATAGAAACTGGGGTCTGGATGGGGATAGTCTGGGTTAAAGAGAGGGGTACCCCAGTTCCAGCAGGATTAAGAATAGTCAACCTAGGTTAGGGCAAGGGGGGCAGGTCCCAGCTCGAAGCTAGGGGAGGGGGGGAGGTAGGGATGGTCAGAGTTAGTGTGAGGATAGAGGGAGAAACAGTTTCTACTTGGGGAGTAAAGGTCGTCTAAGCATGGGTTGGGGAGGTCAGTTCCTGAGGGGTGGGGGGAAGGCAGAGAAGGATGGTCAGTTTGGGTTAGGGTGAGGGGGACTGAGGCAGTTCCCAGTGCAGGGGGACAGGGGAACAGTGGTCAAAGTCTCAGTGAGGGTGAAGGAGCACCCCAACTCCTAGTTCCAGTGTGGGGTAAGAATAGTCAGTCTGGCTTAGGGTAAGGGGAGGCAGTTCTTACTTTGGGAAGGGTGGTTGTAGGAATGGTCAGTCTTGGTGAGGGTGGAGGGGCACCTCAGCTCCTAGCTAGGGAAGGAAAAGATGGCCAGTTTGTGTGTAGGTGAGGAGGAACCCCAGCTCCTAGTTCCACGGGGTGGGGTAAGGATAATTAGTTTGGGTTAAAGCAGGGGGCCAGTTCCTAGTTGGGAAGAAGTAAGGATGGCCAGTGTGGGTAAGGGCAAGAAGGGTCCCAGTTCCTATCCAGGC